AGCGAATCCATGCCGTTAGACCTGACACTTTAAAGTACAACACAACGGAGTTAATCAATGATGGTGAGATTATAATTCAGGTAGGTCTCTACTGAGCACAAAATTTATTTCTATTTTTGTTGGCAGATCGCAATAAAGTCGTGCATAATGAACCTAGAGGTACATCAAAAATTTTTCTGCCCATGAAATTAGAATGCCGGTATATACAATTAGTGAAAATAAAATGTTCTTCCAAACTCTGAAGAACTTTTTGATTTCGGCTCAATACTTTATTATATAATTAAAAACTTATTAGCTAATATATGGAACAGTTACGTACAGTTATGATGGTTACCCAAGCAACAGAAAAGCTCTCATAAGCAGTTTACACGAGTAGTACTCAGGCCCACGCAGTCTACGGATTTTTACCGTTGTAATTTGAAAAAAAATTCTTGTTACTTGAAACCGAAATGTTATAATTCAACGTAAGTCCTCACCTCATACAGTTTATTATAGAGACTTTTAATACAAATTAGTTAATCCTGACGTCATTAGTACCGTAAAGAAATCAGAACAAATAGATGAACTGGAATTAAAAATAATAAAATATGCCTCTACAACTAATTCTCGGAATATTTGAATTTTTTCCACTTCCAAATACAATTAAACTATTATCGGTCCTCGTACAAGCCTAATGTGCACACAGAGCATCAAGGGTTTGGTGTACGCGGAAGGTACTGACTTACTTGACTGATGGTTCAACAATTTTAACAAGCTGATCAATGATCGGCTTTGGTTTTCCAACATCGGTGTCATGTGGTCGCATGTAATGTGGCGCTGTTGGTAACTTCGCCGCCGATTGCATGCGGCCTGTGACGGGCTGGCTGGTGTTGAGCTTGCATGTAAATCAAGCTGATCGGCACAGTGCACCAACATTTCATACGTGAGTAAAATTCTGCTATCCTGTTGTAAAGAATTGTTGCATTCAAGTCTGAAGGACATCAATTCGGCAAAGACGTTTGCGTGTTAACTTTCTCGCGGATATGATCAAGTGCATTCGTCTCGTATACACGCGTGAGCCTCGTGTACTATGCATGAAGTGGAGACGTAGCCATGATACACTTTAATCTTAGTCCCATAAATAGAATGAGAGATGGGGCTGGAAGTTCAGTTCCTCAGGTACCTTTAGTGGAGGGGTGAGGGCAGGTGAGTGTTGAATGAATGAGTCAACACTTTTCCCACTGAAATGAATGAGTCAACGCTCAATAATGGAGCAAGCAACTTCTACTTACCGTGCATTGGATCATTGGAATGGCGAAATCTAGATAATATGTCTGATAGCAATTAACGAATGTTTTCATTTATTAAAATGCCTGCAAATTCATAAAACAGAAGTTTGAAAGTTTCAGATAGAAAGTGAAAAATGTTTTCTTATTTTGTTTCTTCAAAATAATTTATCATCAAACAAATAATAAATATTTTTTGTTTAAATTGTATACTTTTTGTAGTATTTGTTGCAAATGAACATGTTTCATCATTTCCAAATGAAATGTCGATGCCTTAGGCAAGTAATCTCAACACATTTAGCAGATGCTAATTTCGCCATCTAAGAAATTTCTCCACAATTTATACTCAAAAACGCTCATATTATTACATGCGAGTAAAAAATATGCTAAGTCACCGACGGAAAATGAAAAATTAGTTCTGATTCGTGTTAATATGGTTTTGCTAGATTAATTCGTAGAAATTATTACTACTACTAATAACAGTAATTCAGTCTTTCAATATTTTCATTCAAGTTTCACGGGCTTCTCAGCCTCCAAAATTTTATTAGAGTTGATGATTAATTTTATAATATTCTTACTAATAAAGGAGTGCACCGACATGAGTTCATAGATACTGATGACATAGCGGTATTTTAGGTATAACTAATGTAGACACGAGTCGGTGGTGCACAGCAAATAGTCCCACTGAAAACATTTCGTCTCTCACACACACTGTACATCAGAGTTTCGCACAGGCAATACAATCACTGATAAGAACTTTCACTTTGATAAAAGCGTGGCCAAGTCAATGCCTCACAGCAACGAAGAAATTTCCAGGCGTACGTTATAAGGCTCTGAAACATGTTTCCTTCGTAGCCTCAAGAGAGATTCACATCATCAGTTGATAGGTCCTCAGCTTACGGTCATACGTTTAAGCCAGATGCACAGATTAAATTTCAATTGTCTTCCAATACTAGCTAGATCTACAGTCATGATTATCATCATTGGTACACATCTGTGTGGAAACTCTCGTACGTACATATAAAACAAATTAAACTCTATACAATTTTACTGGTTGCTATTTGCGGCATACGTGTGTGAGATTTTTGTCATACAACGTGGTTCACATTTATCTTTATATATGAGTCAACCAGATACTCTTTTTCTATATCATTTGAGGACTGACTGTAATATAGACGAATTTTTCGAAGCGAATGTTACACATCCATATCTTCGCTAGGATTTGAAAAATCCTATGAAATTTATTTACTGAAAATTCGGTAATTTTCCAATCCTTGCTAGACTTTTCAATTCCTGACTTTAACTCAACTAATTTCCTAATTTTAGTCATTTAGAATCTATGTTGTTATGGTGCATGCAGGTCATCCGAAGTTTGCTCCGTGAAAATCACTTGTTTAATTATAATGAATCGAAGTAAGCTAGTTCTTCACTACAATTCTCAACACTCTACTCTCATTGGATGAATGTGAACATGGATAAAATTATTTCTGTGAACTGTGCTTCCATGATGTACAATTCTGCTGACGCTGAATGCGCAACTGGCATTTTAGGTATATATCATAGTTAAGGCTCAAATCTGTTGACTTTTTTTATGTGTTCAGTAAAATTGCATATCAATAATCTCACTACATACTCAACTCTCTAAGTAAAATTTCCGATAATGTAATTTATACCATGATGATTTGCGAACAAAAGTCATCAGACAAATCAGGTCTTGATGCCTTGCAAAAATTGAGCATCCGTTAAACAACGTCTCCATTTCACCTGAACCAACGCTCAGCACGGAGGATGTGCTCATTTACTTATCAGATTTACATGCACGTGCCATGCAAAAAATTTGTCCCGGAACAAATTGAGGTTCTTCTAGAAAATAACTTTCCATGGAAAAAAATTAGAAAAGTTTAACATAGTTTCATCAATTCGCCTGTATTTCTACTTTATTTTATATATTTTTAATTTTTCAACCAGAAAGTTTAAATTTTCCTAACATATACAGTTAAATCTAAATTTCAACAATTGATTGTGAAGCTAGATGCCGCTAGCTGTGGTGACGGATAGTCGCTGACAGACAGCTGTAGGCAAGTGATCGACAAATAAAACCAACTATTTCAATAATATCATACAGCCTATAAAGTCAAACCATGAATCGTATCAAGCCGCAGGACTTCAAACAGCCTTTCGTTCACGACGCGTTTTGCCTTGGCCTCTTACCGCTTATGCCTTTACGACGACCAACATGATGAAATCTGTCGGTCTTGTCCTTCTTCTCATAGCAACCTTTGGCTATTCTGGTGTTGAAGGGTAAGTGAACTCAGCAATTGTATTCGTGCGCTGTGCTCTCTTCTCATGTTCACATTTATCCTAAATTATTAGATAATATTTCTTTGTGCTCTAATTTTGTACAGCCACTACATCTCAATGCTGAAGAAGTTGCGAAAAAGTTGCATTTAGAGCTATAGATATTACTTGTTTTTCTGAATAAAATGGGAAATGTTCACCTACAATGTTAATCACCAGGTGTACTTATTTGTATTCATTTCTCTACCCCAGTACAAATGGTTGTGAAAAGGCCCTAAACACCATGATGGCGAACGCAGACCAGAAACCTGCCTTCATCGCCTGCAAGTCGGATCCAGAGGGAAGTGCAGCCTTGATTGCCCTCGCAGGTTAGATATTGAAAGATTTATTACCATCAATTGGTTGATCTTAAATTTTCTACCATCGCGCTACTCTATGGGAAATCCACCCAATTAATATTTTTTTGTTTCCTAAACTCAGTTTCAGACTCTATTTTCAAACTTGCAATAAATTTATGATATCATGCGTTATTACTGAAAAATATTCGTGATATGGATAAATTTAAAATTTTAATTATGACTTATTATTCGTTAATGTATACATTAATAATATATTATTTCTTCGTTTCCGTTTCTAAGTTACTTGCTCGGTGAATCACGATTGGTGGATCACTACGATACTCTTAATTAAGGAATGGTTATTTTAAATGTGTAGACGATCATGTGTTTCATGTGTAGAGGCTCAGGTGTTTCATGTGTAGACGCTCAGGGTTTGTGCACAGGAACCCGTTCATGCAATCATCTCTTGAAGGTCTTAAGCACGAACTCTACTCTTTTTAGTTCCATAGCCAAGGCGTGAAACCGCCTCAAATAATTGCCACAGCCTCCTACTTCCCTCGTTTTGGTAGGTCGTGATACCGACTTCAATAGCCGCGTTGGGCCCACCGTGAAGAGGGTACAATGCTGGCAGCTGTATCCTCAAGAAAACTATTCGTATTAAATGGCGATCGCTGGTCGACCTGTTAGAAGGATCACTCTGGCACTTTGAAGCTAGTTTAGCGCTGTCTGCCTATTAACAAATTAATTTTCTTCGGCCTCTTCTAAAGGAGCACTGCAAATCTGCTTACAAGTGAAACTTCATTAGAGCATCGAGTTCTCAAATCAGTTCTCTTTACATTTACCTGTAAATGTCGTTACTAATTATAATCGGTGGTATTTATCGGTATGCATCTGATAGCTGAACGTATAGATTGCTGAACCATTTGTTCTCTTGCCCTGAAAATTTAAATTGCAAGATTTCTAAACTGTAAGTTATTTCATTGATGAAACTATGTCAGAAACCGTAATATACCTCGACCAGGCGAACGAACTAAATGAGATTTTACGATCTTTAGATGGAGGTTCATACAAAATAGATAAGGGAAATCAAACTTAGTTGTCAATATTCGAATTAAGATTTACTTTGACCAAGAACCTAAAATCATATTTAGACATTTAGTTCAGCTACGTTCTCTGAAGATAAACTAGCTACGATTTTAGAGTAAGCAGGCTTATGCTCAAATAAGTTAATTGCATTGAAACGATCACATTGAACACACATGGATCAATAGACTTGACCTATCCGAATATTTCATCAGAGAAATACTCTGACGAAAGTAAACTCTCGCCTAAACATATAACTACAAGGCTTTGATAAATCAAAAATAATAATAATAATAATAACACGACGCCGAACGAGCCGATTCAATTGAAGGTAAAATGTAATCCTGGCTTTGAGATCAAAGTCATTTAAATGCATTTTAGAAACTGTTGGTGAAATTCGTCGATCAAAATGCAAGAATCATAAGATATCGTTGGATTGACGACTAAGGGCCACAGACACTCTCGTCTTCTTTTCTAACGTTTGTAACTCTTCACGAAAAGAAAACCGTTTGGGCTATGTTTTCCGAGCAACAAGTTAAAACAAACTATAAGGACTCCAGGGTTATTAAACTTTTTACTCTTGATATTTCAGTAATTGTATCATCTTGAATTGTGAAACATCAAGCATTTGCAGAGGTAGTTACAATCAAAATTAATACCATTACAATCGAGGCAACATCACAATATCATGTTTCCTTAATACTTTACGGCATTTCTTCTTAATAGAGAAATTTTGAATTGCAGATTCAGAAATTACCCTAAAAGGAACAGGAATCGTTACACAAAGTATTCATTAGTAATGTGTACAAGTAACATAATACCTTATTGTGGTTAAACATCCACACACTCTCAGCATTCATTTCTAAAGTAAGTCATTTTGTACAGAATCCAATTGGAAACAATAATTCGGAACTTTTAGACGAATTGAAAAACAAATAAAGCACAATATCTTACGCACCCTTGCCTTGAGTTAACAGACACAGTAATCATTTCTGTTTCCTGCGAGAGACTTAAGGAAACGTTTATGAAAATCCAGTAAGTTTTGATGCTTGCTTTGTTGGAAGTTGTGGCTCCTTCTCTAAACTGGATTAGAATAAGGCAATACAGAAGGTGTATTGTAAACATAAGTACTAGCAATGTTTTCCAATATTAATACTAAGGAGGTTCATTAAATGGAAACTATTCAGAAATTTTAGTAGTGTTTGTGGCTTAATGTCGGAAAACGATACTATTACTCACAGAAAAACTCGATTCAATATGAAAATGCTGTACTTATCATGAGAAATCTCAATGCGATTAACATCAGTACAATGAACTATTTTAATGATATTACTCGAAGATTTGACAAACTGTAAAGAGTGTAACAACAATCGAGCACAAGAATTGCCTGCCTTACGTAATCTGTCCAGACGGCCCCGGCTGCCAGCCCTGGGGCCGTATTATCAAAACTTCGTAAGTACGCAAAATCGACTTACGAGTGGCGTAAGTGCTGACTTGATAACGTAAGTCTACTTCTACTCATAATAATTTGTTCGGGTAATAATGACTTAGCTAGACGGTAACTCTCATGTCGCGGCATAGTTGCGGAGATCTCAGCGTAATGGGAAGTGCTGCCGCTACGACATGAATTCATTCACCCGGCGCAGCTGCACTCCGTGACTATCATGTCGGGGAGGTTCTGCAGCTACGACATGGATTCATTCACCCGGCGCAGCTGCACTCCGTAACTATCATGTCAGGCAGGTGCTGCCGCCACGACATGCATTCATTCACCCGGCGCAGCTGCACTCCGTAACTATCATGTCGGGGAGGTTCTGCAGCTTGACGGTGTTGGGGGACTCGTGCCACATGATACTGAGCGGCTCGCTGCGCTGCGCGGAGCAGCACGGCGCTACAGCTGCCCGCACCGTCGGACTCAGCGCGTCAGTCAGCAGGATCCGCTGTTGCCACAACACAAAACTTATAACATGAGCAACAAAATAAAATTAATAATAAATTTACATTTAAATGGACGATTTCGCTATTGATGACAATCTTTATTGGCAATCATAACGTCTTAATCTATGCTTTCAAATAAATGGAGAATATATTATTATGCAGTAAAAGTTTTCGACAGCAAGAAAGAGGACACATACTGAAAGAAATTTCTGATACAAAACGAGCGTAAAAATATTAGAAAGCAAATATCTGGAATTCAGAACGCAGTGTTAAAACATTTATAGGAGAATTTAAATAATGGTTTAATATGCGGAAAAATAATAGATTTATAGAATAATACTATTGGTGAAAGGTTAAGGAAAAAAAAACTACAGATAATTACCAAATGAATTTCGAAAATGGGTTCTTCAAATTATTGTGTAAATTTAAATATATGGCTTTATTAGAACGCTGGTGTTTGTTTATTGCTTTAATTTATAAATCAACTCAAAAGGGCGTTCACAACAATTTGTTGAACCCTCACATCGTTGAAGCTCTGAGCTCACCTGCAAGAGGCTGACGTACGAGTTGCCTCCTTCCAGGGTCTCTGCAACTGAAGGCTGTGCACAAGATCCCTTACAGAAGTACATGGTGAAGCCTTGTGGCTGTATGATCCAGTTGTGCCAGCCAAGCTCTACGAAGCTTACGTACAAACTGTCACGACAGCAACCACGCGCTCCCGCGGTGCAGTCTTGAGGCGAGCGTCGCGACCGAGCCTGTGGACGGACATCGTGTTAAACGCTGCACTGCTTCCAATCATGAAACCTTCACCAAATAAATACTGACTACATGGTAAATCAACATTAAAAAGGAATAAGTGACTCGGTATTAGTTGAGTTGCTCACTGCTTTGGCGCATATATTCTGCTCATTATCTTGACATTTTCTGCATACTATCATGCATACTAAATTTAGTCATTTTAAAACGAACGTTTCACTATACAATATTTATAGGAGCGAATGAAATTTGCTACTAAATTGCAAATGAACCCTACACAGTATCTATGGCTGATGTCAAGCAAACAATGAACATGGGGAAGCTAATAATGAAGTCGTCATTTCTGAATCTTGAAAAAAAACTTAAAAACATTAAACTGATAAATAGCCATAGAAATTAGTAGTAAAGATATTGAAGTTTATTTGTCATTAATAATATGACAAACATGTCGGTTGGATTGAAAAAGTCTTAAAAATTTCATTGGAAATCATATATCACGTCAGTTGCTTGTGCTCACCTTGACTTTGTCAGTAACGCGAACTGACAAAAACGGCATAAAATCATCCACTTCTTTTCTTGGATGCTTGCAGTGACGACAAAATATTTCTAAAATAATTCCACCATTTTCTGAGAGTGAAATATCCTGAACGGAATCAGGAAACCCTTTCACAGTCTTCATTTTCTTTGCGTGTAAAGATTTCCGCAATTCTTGTGGCTTTTGGGGCTCAAGAGGAGCCAGCAGCGACGTCGCAACGTCTACGGAGACCCAGCCGTTCTCAGGCCGCGTCACGAGTTGTGATGTGAGTGTGACGCGGTCCTGGGGTGATGATGTAACGCGGGGGTGATGGTGGTGACGACTGCGATGATTGTGATTGCCTGAACTTGATACCTGATGATGACCGAAAATTTTACTACACTGGGTAAATTTTCTTGTGATTATTATTATTGAATTCGCACAAAAAAAAAAAAAAAAGAGAATAATCTCATGTGGTACTCGAGGATTACAGTTCTGCCAAGGAACGTTAACTAATAAGAAGAAATTACGTGGAGAACAATTTTTAGTTTTTTTTAAATACTCGTATTGAAAAATATCAGAATAACTGTAACGTGATTTTTATTGATTATAGCGAAAGTGGAAAAATTTTCAATCTACATTATTTGTATACATTTAATATATAAACAAATATAATTATATATTGTTCACCCAAATATAAATATTTCAACTGGGATAGAATCACTACCTTGGTAACGGACACCAAGGCCTGCTGGTGCTGGTACTCCGACGTGGTCTCCGGAACCTGGAAGAAGACTGAGCTGTGCGACGCGCCGGACGAGACGAGCCCGGACGGTAGGGTGAAATGATAGCAGGTTGCCGTGCGAGGGCTGCTCCGAGGGCACGCCACTCCTGAGGGAAAGCAAGACAATTATATTAATCGCGCTGAAAATATTAATCAATATTATTAATATTAATACAGAATTAACACTATTGTTGAAAGAAGAAGGAGAAAGGATTCGCGTGAGTTATCTTAAATATTATTTTGCAGTCACGGAAAACGCAATCACTAGTATAGTCATTCATGACAAACTCTTCTCACAAACTCCTGAGAATGGCGGCAAAAAGACCGCCAGTTGCGGCCGTCCGCTACAGCCAGACAGTGCGAGAGACTGCATGCATGACGCTGCGCGTGCCCCGCTTGCGTCAGCTTCCATTTCTATTTTCTTTGCAATAATTTCATATTCGAGCTCCAACTGCGGAAGTTGCCCTGCTGTTATATATAACGTTGAGGGGCGGCAAATAGGTTTCGTCGCATTTCTTGATTTCTTAAAGATATTTCAATCTTTAACACCACATTGGCCGCTATCCTTCTTCCGACATTGTTAACTTTTATCATGATCATGAAATGAATATTACATTCAAGGTTTAATCAGTTCTTACTGATAAATTCAGAATATCTCGTTGACTTCACTTGAATTGCCAATGAATTTAGTAGTATTGTGCGTTTTCACAAAACATTAATCTCTGGCCGTCATTTTATGACGTGTCAATCTATGTAATAATATGCTTGTACCAAGGAACATTATCATTATATCCCACATCAAATTTTATTGACATTATATTGCATAGTAATAGTTTCCTCATAATGTCAATAAGCATCTGCACTTAAATATTGGTGAAAAAATTGCTGTACACAAACTAAGATTCATTTTTGTTACTATCGTCATAATTTCACCGAGACATTTCAAACATTGCTATTAATACAGACTCTATTGATAGAAACTACACGTAAGGTTCGCTACACGAAACGCTAGACGGTGGCATATATGAGCCTCGAGCTGTGATCACACAGCAGGCACGTGCAGCAGTCGTTGCCCGCGCCTCACGACTTCATAGCCTCAGACCAAGTTACAATTATTAATTAAACAGTGTGATGGCAGATAAATTCGACTAAAATGCTTGGAATGAAATCAAAGAGCTTCTAAACCCATTCTGTTTCAAAAATCGCTTATCCTAGCGTAAAATATAACAGAGCTTGAAGAAGTACAACCAAATCGTCATGCGGTAAAAAAATTCTAGCTAAGTACAAAAATACAAATACTTAATATAACAAGTAAGATTTTTTAATATACAGATCGTTATAATACGACACTTTCTAGACCCGTCTCAACACAAGCATTAATTTGATCATAGATATCCTGTGTAGACTCCTGCGTCTCGAAATAATTTTCTCGAAATGAACCGGGACAGACGAAACGAGACGAGAAAATTCCGGGAAAAAAATATCGGGACAGAGGGTAAAATTTGTCCCGGAATAAACGTATGAACCGAGACAAGACTTCTGTCCCGGACTTTAAAACTTGTGTCCCGGTAAATTATGAACCGGGACGAGACAGACAGATTTGAAACGAGACATAACGAGCCGAGACGAGATTTGTCTTAATAATTTGAGACAAAACAAGTTTTTCGATTACGATACGAATCATTTTGAAAACATGGGTTGAAGAATGACAAGTTAGCCCCTTATTGCTAATAGGGACATACACAGTTACAAGGTAAATTGAGTTAATTGCAGATTTAACATAACATAACTTAGTGCTCTCGGCGCTGAAGCGTATAGGCCTGATGTGGCCTGTCGCCGATTCTTTTCCTTTTCGTGCCTTGTTCACAGAAGATCTAAAATCGTGTCATTGGACCGGATCTTTTCATGACTGACGATAGTTTGAAGAAGCTACTAGACTTCCACCGGGTTTCGATATGGAGCTAGGCATTTCAAATCTGAACATATATTTTTCCATAGCTTTATCTAGTCTGTTCTTGAACGCGTTCATACTTGGAGCGCCAACGATGTCATCGGGCT